CTCGCTAGAAATAACATCAAAAGTGCAAAAAGTTAGTCAGAAATATACATTTACACACAAACTGACCACCAAACGCAACTTTCAGATGCCATCTTTATTTTTTAGCTCAACCGTAACGGTCCACGGAATGGAACGCACAGGATTGTGGTATATCAAAGGCAGCGAAGGATACATCTATGCTGCCTTCAAAATTCGATCAGAAGAAGGTACCTCCGGAGACAGAAAGTAAAGCAGAATTTGGATTTGGACATGCCTTGATGCCTTCCTGTCATGGAATGTTTAGAGTTTTCGGATGCAGACCATGACAGCTTTCATTGGCCAAGGCATGTCAAACAACCAATCACAGTTCGATTCGTTCAGCGTCACGTTTCGGGGCGTGTAAAACTCTCGGACGTATTTTAAAGATTCTATGCTGCGAACTTTAAATATTTCACATACTTTTGAGAATCCAGCGTTTACTTGATCCTGATAAGCACTAGTCATCACATCTGTAAACACTACGGCTTTCTAATTTCGTGAGGGGGTTTGGCGTCACAGCATCTTTGTTTCCAGGCGGAACGTTAAAGAACGCGACACACACGTCTCCCGGAAATCCTGTATAATTCAACCAATCCGATGACGACTTCGAAACTCCTGAAGTGTTTCCACTTTTGTGTGCCATATGCATCAGACGTTTAGGCAACGTTCCGTGGGCGTGACGTCTGAGGCTGAGACTAGTCACCAGATAACACGGTCACCAGATAAACCGTAACACCAGCTGAGCCACGTAAAAGGGTGGAGACTAATGTTATTCCAACCAAGCAGGCAAAATGTCATCGCAACGCCTTTCAAAGCGTAAGAGCTTAATATTTTGCACTTAAAACCTATAACTAAACGGCAGTTCTGCCTCACATCACACAAATCCACTGCTGTATGTCATTTTAAACTGTTTCCGACGCAAAGCCGAGCTGACAAGGCTTGTGTAGCTGTGAAATACGTAAAGTTTACAAACGTTTGCTTTATGTGTATGTAATAGACTGCAAAAACAGTAAAGAGAAAATGCATTGCTGACTGGGGACAATTATATACACATATACATATTAATTCATACCATTTAATTTCATTGCACTGCTTATCCTAAACTATTTAAACTTAATAAAAAACTGTTGCACTGTCAACACTGTGGAAGAAAAGCGTATCATGCACGTGATAGCCTGGTAACAGCAGTAATACAGCATACTGTAAACATTTAACAGCCACCTGTGCACACAATAAATGATTTAAAAGACTGTCTTCTGACCTGTTGCGTCCTGTCTGAAGGATTCACCATCACCGCCTGCCGAAAACTGTTATCCACATAGGACGCCATGGTTTTCAAAACAGTCGCGCACAACAGTTAAGTCAAATAATTCAAAGCAAATCTCACAAGTGGCTTTTTAGTGATACAAACACGTTTTTATATAGCAGCAACTGCAGAGGAGAGCCTGTCCCCAGGCCACAGCCTAAGCCAGGAGCTCTCTTACTGTCCCTCGTCCCAATCCTACAAAACCAGACAGTCTGCTTTTCCTATTCCAGCCGCTGAAGCTTCAACTGTGACTTGACAGGCGATTCTGTGTTAATGAAAGGTTTTTGCAGGCAAGCGGTAGCCTACGTCTGTGTTTTACGCAGACGAGTGCTTTTTTCAGCTTTCCGTTTGTCTCCTGTTCGCTATTCTATCTTCTTCAGTTTTCCATTTTAAAACAATGTGCAATCCATGCGTTGGGTGATTGTCCATTTTAAGCCATTTGCAAAGCAGCGGAGGGTCAAAGGCAGCATTTATAAATAACGTTTTAGCGTCTAAACGCGACGGATGGTCTGCCGTCTGGGCTCGTTGTTGTAAGCCACCACCATGGTGACCGAACGCCTCAAGAGGTTTCATGGGCGAGTCCATTCAGCACAATAACGCGCCCACAGAACAATTCAGCCACAACACATAGTGCTTTGTCTCCATCCACTGGCTGAAGACGGTATTGCAAGCTTTGAGTTATTAACACTTATATAACACATTTTCTGTCATCTGGCAAATCAAAACAGTCGCAGCGAAGGATACATCTATGCTGCCTTCAAAATTCGATCAGAAGAAGGTACCTCCGGAGACAGAAAGTAAAGCAGAATTTGGATTTGGACATGCCTTGATGCCTTCCTGTCATGGAATGCTGCCTCACAAGGCAGCATTTTAGAGTTTTCGGATGCAGACCATGACAGCTTTCATTGGCCAAGGCATGTCAAACAACCAATCACAGTTCGATTCGTTCAGCGTCACGTTTCGGGGCGTGTAAAACTCTCGGACGTATTTTAAAGATTCTATGCTGCGAACTTTAAATATTTCACATACTTTTGAGAATCCAGCGTTTACTTGATCCTGATAAGCACTAGTCATCACATCTGTAAACACTACGGCTTTCTAATTTCGTGAGGGGGTTTGGCGTCACAGCATCTTTGTTTCCAGGCGGAACGTTAAAGAACGCGACACACACGTCTCCCGGAAATCCTGTATAATTCAACCAATCCGATGACGACTTCGAAACTCCTGAAGTGTTTCCACTTTTGTGTGCCACATGCATCAGACGTTTAGGCAACGTTCCGTGGGCGTGACGTCTGAGGCTGAGACTAGTCACCAGATAACACGGTCACCAGATAAACCGTAACACCAGCTGAGCCACGTAAAAGGGTGGAGACTAATGTTATTCCAACCAAGCAGGCAAAATGTCATCGCAACGCCTTTCAAAGCGTAAGAGCTTAATATTTTGCACTTAAAACCTATAACTAAACGGCAGTTCTGCCTCACATCACACAAATCCACTGCTGTATGTCATTTTAAACTGTTTCCGACGCAAAGCCGAGCTGACAAGGCTTGTGTAGCTGTGAAATACGTAAAGTTTACAAACGTTTGCTTTATGTGTATGTAATAGACTGCAAAAACAGTAAAGAGAAAATGCATTGCTGACTGGGGACAATTATATACACATATACATATTAATTCATACCATTTAATTTCATTGCACTGCTTATCCTAAACTATTTAAACTTAATAAAAAACTGTTGCACTGTCAACACTGTGGAAGAAAAGCGTATCATGCACGTGATAGCCTGGTAACAGCAGTAATACAGCATACTGTAAACATTTAACAGCCACCTGTGCACACAATAAATGATTTAAAAGACTGTCTTCTGACCTGTTGCGTCCTGTCTGAAGGATTCACCATCACCGCCTGCCGAAAACTGTTATCCACATAGGACGCCATGGTTTTCAAAACAGTCGCGCACAGCAGTTAAGTCAAATAATGCAAAGCGAGTCTCGCAAGTAGCGTTTTAGTGGTACAAAAACGTTTAAAGATCGCAGCAACTGCAGAGGAGAGCCTGTCCCCAGGCCACAACCTAAGCCAGGAGCTCTCTTACTGTCCCTCGTCCCAATCCTACAAAACCAGACAGTCTGCTTTTCCTATTCCAGCCGCTGAAGCTTCAACTGTTTTGACTTGACAGGCGCTTTTGTGTCAATTAAAGGTTTTTGCAGGCACGCGGTACGTTTATGTTTTACGCGAACGAGTGCATTTTTTTAGCATTCCGTTTGTCCCCTGCTCGCTATTCCATCTTCTTCAGTTTTCCATTTTAAAACAAATCCATGTGCAATCCATGCGTTGGCTGATTGTCCATTTTAAGCCATTTGCAAAGCAGCGGAGGGTCAAAGGCAGCATTAATAAATAACGTTTTAGCGTCTAAACGCGACGGATGGTCTGCCGTCTGGGCTCGTTGTTGTAAGCCACCACCATGGTGACCGAACGCCTCAAGAGGTTTCATGGGCGAGTCCATTCAGCACAATAACGCGCCCACAGAACAATTCAGCCACAACACATAGTGCTTTGTCTCCATCCACTGGCTGAAGACGGTATTGCAAGCTTTGAGTTATTAACACTTATATAACACATTTTCTGTCATCTGGCAAATCAAGACAGTCTGTGCACTGCTGACGACTCAAAAATAAATGAACAATTATTTTAAGCCCTTACAACTTCACAGATGTTACAATTGGGATTAAGGTTGGTTCATTGCTGGTTAGGATAGAAGAAAAGACGAGTCAGCATGATCAAAAATAGCGCGCCTTTTAGTTTTCTGAATAAATCCAGTAAATAAATCTTATGACACTTCCATGATGATGGAATTCAGTTATCTAAGACTCCACTAAAGCCTTATTTTTATATCAACAAAAGCAAACCGATTTAAAGACATAGTTTGAATATCAAATATCCCATGCCTGCTGATTTGCTTTGAAAAGTAGTTTCCTTCTACAAACAAATACTTAGTCTTTGCATTTATAAACCGTTAACATCAAATCCTGCATTACATTTATGCGTTTGGCAGATAGTTTTATCCAAAGCAACTAAGGCTATATTGCATTGAATATATATTTAATCAGCTCATGCATTCCCTGAGAATCAAACCGACCTTGCTAGCACCATGGTTTGAGATACAGAAATGCATCAAATGAAGCAAAAAAAAAAAAGCCTTATAGGTTTATATAATAAATTTATTTCATTATTAAGTTTATGGGGCCAAACATTATTTTAGGCTGCCAATTAGACAAAGAGAATACTAATACAAATACTTAATTTATGAAGGTTAGAAGTAACATGTTTGTTTGTTTGTAGATTTACACACTCGACTTCAAATATATTGTGGATTCCTTCATTCATTCATTCATTCATTCATTCAATCAATCAGCCTTTTGTCAGCTGCATTATTTGTCTGTAGGCTATTTATTTATTATTAATTTGATTTAAATTAATGTATTAGTCAAGAAGAAAACTATACATCAGATGTATGGTTTTAATTGTATAAGCCATGTACTAAATAAAATCCGTGTTGACTGACTTTAGTTTAATAAATAATCCGTATAAGTAAGTTAGCATGCCTATAATACATCTAAACACTTGTTTAGTGGAGACCAACCGCTCCATGGCAACGGCGCGTGAGCGAGCGAGTGACAGATTGACCTCCCGCCCAGGGCTTGTTGTACAGTGATGAGATGCGCTTACTGATATTTCAAAGATCTGCCAACAGTTTTAAGACCAAGGCAGCCTAAACAAAGTGAAGATGATGAAGAAGGTACAAGAAGCAGACAGAGAAACTCAGAGTTCGCCTGGACAGAGAATACTGTTCACAGGTAACGTATTCAGGCCTATGAACGACTCTGAATTATATTTTAGTATGACACTATAAGTTTACGAATGTGAATAGTGATCTTTTGTTGGTGCCATGAAGGTCCAGACGGCATTGAAGATTTCCGTCCCAGGTTGGACTATTTCCCCCGCAGCATTGGAATCGGCCTGTTATCTCCAGATGCCACGAGTGATCTCAACTACCTCTTCCGGCCTGCAGCACACGCGACCCCGCCGTTACCGAAACACTGCTACGTCGGAGAAGTGGGCTGGGGTCTGCAGTACTCCACTGCACTCAACAGACGAACTGTCATCAACTGCAAACAATATGAGGTTATTATATAGGCTACATGTACTTACAATTTCTTTTGGCAAAAACAATGGTAAGATCGATCGATCGATCGATCCCT